GGGCCCTGGCTGCGCCATGCCGGGCGACGTCACGGTCCTTGATTTTAATCTATTCATAAAGGGCTTTTGAACCGCTCTTAGTCTGACCCGTCACCCAGGACCTGTTTGCCTTGGGAGACCCTACCAGGGACATATAGCCCCCAACAACATAGCTCCTAGGATCACTCGGGTACTCAAACCCCTCCACCACAATAAGGTGGCGGTTCAAGGAGGGGCAGGACAAACCAACTTTATCCTGCAAAAACCTTATCTTGTCTGATGTGCTATACTATCTGAAGCGAACATCCTTACATGCTTTGCGACAGACCTCAGCGTAGTATGGCTGTCATCTTCGGTCATTAAATTACACCAGAGTGAATGCTTTAATTAAAAGGCAGAGCAGTGTTCAATGTTGTCTTTAAGTCTATTTTAGGTGTCTACCTTCTGTTCATCCCTTATCATAGCAAATAGAGATGGTAAATTGTGTAAAAATGTTCATGCACACCCAACAAACCCAGGCATTTCACATCGCCTTGATTTTACATTTTGCCCATTATACTATAGCAACTGTAGCAGAGTGTGTTTCTCCTGCAGTACGGACAGTGAGGAGATATTAACATCACGCCACGCACTCTGCACTGAATCCTGATCATCTCCACTAAATAATATTCAAGTTATAAAGCAGGATTTTTTTATCATCTTATTTATTTATTTATTTATTAATTTATAACTGTGAATTGGATAAAATGGAATGTATTTTTATAAGTTGTAAATTGTACTACATATTTATTGATTAGTTCATTGATTGAACACAATCACTATCTTTATAATTTAAATGTGTCAGCTGAAATTGATTTATTTATTTACTGAAGTATGTGTTACTGGAATTTATTTCCTGATATTCAGTGTTTTTATTTGTTTATCTATTTATTGATGTATTTTTTATTTGTTGGGTTGTTTGTGTACATCATTACAATGATTTGTCTTTGTTCATCAAAAATGGAAAATATTTTCATATATTGTATTCAATAAAAATGATTTTTTTAAATGACATTGAAGTGTGTTAATTGTTTATTATTTCTGTTAGATAAACAAAATGTACCTTTTCTGAGTAACAGGCCTGGTGAGAATAATTAAACTAGGTGGGAGTCTGTGTTACTGACAACCACAAAAATTAGAAAGAATCCAAATCACTATATTGTCCTGTTCTGCTCCCTGTGGAATAAAGTTAATATGCTTTTTCCAGATTACAGTTGTTCTCAGTCACTTTGGTACATTTCTCAAACTATCATTGATGTTTGCAGAAAAGTAATAGCATCTCTTTCAACAGTTCATATAAACAACACCTGGATTACCTGCAAAAGAGCATCACCTGCTAAAAATCCTTGGTTTATCTCTAAAAGGTAAATACTAATGTCAGCGAACATGCCATGTTTATCCTGTACCTACAGTAGGCATCGGGTCGAACTCATCTGAGAGCATGTTACAGAAAACTAGTGCACATCACAGTCTGAGCAAGGCCCTGCTTTTTCTTGTTTGATTATATTAAGACTCTGTATGTCTTTTCTTTATGGAACAGGAATAAAAGTGATAAACACTTGTATTTGCTGGAGAAAGTCTTATTTTATTCACTTTTATCCATGTACAAAAGAAATTGCTTCAAAACAAATTGATCAACAACATATTTATAAAAATACTGATTATGTAGACAGTTAACCAATGAACTAATCAATAAATATGCAACCAAACAAATGACCTAGTATGTTACAGTTTTTCTCTATTGCTTTCATTCATTTCTCACAACAGAACTGCATTTCTCAGAACTACTCGTTCAACCGTCAGATTCTCTTGTCAGTTGTTCACATCATATCAGCAATTTCTTGTTGTTTTCATCAAGTTGCAATGGCTTTTAGACAACATGCAAATGGTTCTGTACATCTGTCAGCTGTTTTTGACAATTCTTGTTGCTTTTGTCCAGCTGTGCAAAATAACTTGTCCTGGTTCTCAGCTGAAATGTCACAACCACCAAACCAATTAGTCTTTTTTTCAGGTTGGAAGTCTGTACTATCAAAATGAGTGAACATGTTCTCAGAATTGTATGTCTGTACAGATTTCTACAAAGTGTGAGTAGATGTTTGCTAAGAAATATGTCCAGAATTGAGAAATTGCTCTCAGGTGAGTCTTCAGCAGGATTTAGAGGAACAGGCATCGGTCACTGATCTCTGATGCCTGTCTTTAAAGTTTAATTGTAGGGAACAGTAAGGTTCTGGTCATCCAGCCTGAGACTTACACAGGAGCCAAGGTGCTCGGCCTGCTGGGTTACAATGTTGACAAAGTGGTCCACTGTGTTCTTCTCCCATGATGCAGAGCTGTAATCCTCCTCAAACAGGACAGCCACCTCCTCCAGAATCTGGACTGTGAACCCAAGTTTGTCCTCAGCCTGGAAGAAGAACAGGAGTCATCACACATTACTGGAGCAGTAACACACAGTTTTATCTAAAGGCTGCACAACGGGAGAAAAAAAAATCATCTTTAATTTCACATATTTACATTTAATGCAGGTGTTTCTTCCATAAAACTGAGCTGATGACTTACTGATGCCTTGGACGCCTGGCTGTACAGATGGTTGGGGAAGGCCACGTCCACTCCAGCATCCTCTGTGGTGTTAGTGGAGTTATTAGCCTGCAGCACACACACACACGATGTCTTAACATACATAGACCAAGACTGAGAAGATAATAAAGAGAATTAAATTACAGTTAACGTTATCCAAGACATCCACTCACCATAGTGTCCAGTAGATCCAGAGAGTTTTTACTGTACTGTCTGAACTTGTGATCCATCCATTGGCAGCTCAGTGAGGAGGCTGCACTGCACACACTGAGAAACAGGCACACAAAGAAAATCCCGTTGAGCATTTTTACAGAGCTACAAGTGGCCTCTGTGTAGAGCGAATTCAGGTGTCTCCTGGTGTTGTGTTGGAGCAGACCTGCAGCGCCTCATTTATAACAGGAGAACAGATCGCACCTGTTTCATTTTCCTGTGGGAACTTTGTGGCTTTCACGGGACTAAAAAAAAAACCACATGCCTAGTGATGGCCATTTCGGATTTCAACGGGAAACATGTCAAAAAGGGAAACATTTACCCCACAAACAAATTTCACCGTAAGCTTAAAATGTCACGTTCGGCACATATTGGAAAGTGCTTCAATAGAACAGTAATACCGTACAATTATTTTACAAAGAATGAAAACAAACATAAAAACTAACACCCCCCTCTATTATTAAAGTCAGAATAGTTTAATGTTCTATACTGAGAATTCTGGAGTTTGAAAATGAGTTTAGGCCATTTTAACTTTACTTATCTATTGGTTTCCTTCAGTCCGCGCACTGCGCAGTGCCACTGTACATCTGTTTAAAACATAGAAAGTGTCGTTATTGCATCATGACTACTGTGTGGATTCATAATCATCCTGATCGCACTGTGTCCATCCGGAGCCGTAAAAGGGAAGTTGTCGAGAAAATGAAAGCGTCTCCGTGGCTGCGGCCTGCGCTCTGACGCTCGTTCATGTGAACTGGACAGTGACATTTCATCTTGCTTTAACGAGAACATGGCGCTGGACCGTGAGAACCAGGTAGCCTACGGAGGAGGGGATTCTCCTTCATCCTGTTATTTACACATCAGAGCACATTTTCAGCCTCCTACAAACCAGCAACCTATAAACACACCACAGTACAGACCCTCCTACAAACCAGCAACCTATAAACACTCATAGTACAGACCTTTCATATGAAATGACCCCAAAGCGTGTGGAAAAACCAGGCGTTGCTATTTGTTATGGTACTTTGACTGTTAGCTTTATTTTCACTTATGGCATTTTAAAGAGGACTGTGTGATTTTATTATTTTATGTCAAAGCCATATAGAAAGTGAGTCAAATAGACTTTGTGTTGCATCCAGTATAATCAACTAAAATCAATAATTAAGTCAAAGATTAGTGTAACCAATAACCCACTACAGCCTTCCAAATTAATTGATAGAAATTATGAAAATTACATCCTCCAAGAAAATAATATCCAAGCTATATAAACTCATATCAAATACAGATTCAACAATAACAATACCAAAACTCAAATGGGAAAATGATTTATTATTTATTTATTTTATGTCAAAGGCATATAGAAGGTGAGTCAGATAGACTTAACTAATTACAAGTCAGTGGTTCATGCATCATGGCACTGGACCGTGAGAACCAGGTAGCCTAGAGAAGGGGATTCTCCTACAACCTTTCATTTTAATATTGCATGGAATACGATTTTTTTAATCCAACAGCCCAGTGACCAGAGCTGGACTGAGACTGTTTCTGTTGTCCTTCATGTGTAGGTTGCTAAGGCTGACGAGGTAAAGGTAAATTACAAAAGGATATAGAGTGTTAAACAAGGTTGTAGTGTGTGAAGTGTGGGTATTTCCAACTTATGCAGTCTATGAAATGCAAGAAAAGGAGGGGGAAGTAAATAAATAAATAAAATTACCAATAATAATGATGATAACAGTACTACTAATAAAATCAGCTTGTTCCATTTTAGAGGTTGGTGGGAATGTGCGTGGCCTCAGCCCCAGGTATTTGATTCAAGTTCATTCATTCATTCATTTTCTACCACTTAATCCCTGAATGGGGTCACGAGTAGGGGCCGGAGCCAATCCCGGCCGGCAATCGGGTGAAGGTGGGGTACACCCTGGACAGGTCGCCAATCCATCACAGGGCTAACACATAGACGAACAACCACACGCGCTCCTATGGGCAATTTTAGAGACACCATCTTTGAACTGTGGGAGGAAGCCGGAGTACCCGGAGAGAACCCACGCAAGCATGGGGAGAACAGGCAAACTCCACACAGAAAGGTCCCGGGTGGGGCCCGAACCCGGAACCTTCTTGCTGTGAGGCAACGGTGCTAACCACTGCACCACCGTGCTGCCCTTGATTCAATTTGAAATGTGTTAAAAATGGGTTCTATGTGTCATAAAAAGCAGCTAAACTATTCTTGTGAGTGGATGTCATTTTCTCTAATGTGATGTATTCTGTCAGAAGGTTGGTCCAGTGGTTTATGTGCAGTGATTTTTTGATTTCCAGTTTTGAAAGATTGTTTTCTAGGCAATAGCTAGAGAAATGAGGAGTGAGTTTTTGTATTTGATTGGTAGGTGGTCGATTTTTATGATATTACTGAGTAAACAAAGTGATGGAGAAGGAGGGATTCTACAGCCCAAGATGGTGGAAAGTTTCTCTGTCACTGCTACGTATCCAGGGGGAATGAACTGGTTGGCAGGTCCAAGTAGCATGAACATAATTGTCAGTGTAACCTAGAGTGCATTGTGAACAGATGTCTGTGTCAGTGAAACCCATTTTGAACATTTTACTTTCTGTAATATGGGTCCTATAAATGGTCCTGTATTGTATAAGTTGTAAGTTTATGTTGCTGGTCATAGAAAAGATGTTATTGCAAATTTCTGTCCAGAAGTTGGGGTTGAGGGGGAGAGTTAAATCATTTTCCCATTTGAGTTTTGGTATTGTTATTGTTGAATCTGTATTTGATATGAGTTTATATAGCTTGGATATTATTTTCTTGGAATCTGTAATTTTCAAAATTTCTTCAATTAATTGGGAAGGTTGTAGTGGGTTATTGGTTACACTAATCTTTGATTTAATTATGGATTTTAGCTGATTGTACTTGAGGAACTGTTCTCTCTGAGCTCCGTACTTCTGGATCAGTGTATTAAATGATATGAAATGGTTATTTTCAAATAGGTGATGTAAGTGAGTGATTCCTTTGTGTTGCCATGTTGGGAAATAGATAGGGTTATTATGTAGTTGAAAATCAGGGTTGTGCCAAATTGGAGTGTATCTACATGGT